AGATGATTCGAAAGAGGCATCAAAGCTAAGGGCTAGGGCGGCAAGATTCACAATAGTCCAAGGTAATCTCTACAAAAGAGGTTTTTCTTTTCCGTTAATGAAATGTATAACAGGAATAGAGGCAAACTATATCCTAAGAGAAATCCACGAAGGCATGTGTGAAAACCATTTGGGAGCAAATACTCTGGCAAGCAAAGCTCTGCATCAAGGATACTTCTGGCCAACGATGAATAAGGACGCCAAGGAGGTAGTAAAGAAGTGCCAAGCATGCTAGGTGCATGGTAACTTGACGCACTGCCCTCCCGAGCTCTTAACCCTTGTGGTCAACCCTTGACCCTTTCAACAGTGGGGTTTAGACATCCTGGGACCCTTACCAGTTGGGGTTGGGCAATGCAAGTTCATGGTGGTCGCAGTAGATTATTTCACGAAATGGGTCGAAGCTGAACCTTTAGCCAAAATCACCGCACAGAAGGTCAAGAACTTTGTTTGTCAGTCTGTAATCTGCCGTTTTGGAGTCCCTAGGGCTTTGGTTTCAGACAATGGAAAATAGTTCAATAATCTGACATTCACTGGTTTTTACGCCAAATTGGGGATCAAAAACTACTTCTCGGCTCCTGCTCACCCCCAGTCCAATGGGCAAGCTGAGGTGACCATCCGAACTATTAAGATGGCCCTCAACACCAGGTTGGAGACCTCTAAGTCTTAATTGATAGACCACCTCCCGGCTGTACTATGGGCTTATTGAACAACCGCGCAAACTGCTACTGAGGAAACTCCTTTCAGTTTGGCGTATGGAACTAAGGCAATGACCCCAGTCGAGGTAGGCGTACCTATAGTGAAGCTGAGCTATTCAGCCCGGGGCAAAATGAAAGATCACTACTAGTGAACCTCAATCTCCTCGACGAAAAGAGGGATGAGGCGCTGCAGAGCATATTTTCATACCAAAGAAACACAACTAGGTTCTACAACAGACGAGTAAAAAGAAGTTTCAAATCGGGGGACTTAGTATTAAAGAAGCTACTCCCAACAAGAAAGGATCCAGCCCATGGTAAGCTCGGCCCTAACTGGGAAGGGCCTTATGTTGTAAAAAGGGTTGTCCGACCTGGTAACTATGAGTTGCAGACTGAGGAAGGCCGAGACCTACAACATTCATGAAACACAGACCACCTAAAGCGTTACTATCAATAACACTCTCTGACGGTGTTGACATAACCAAGGAAAGCGACTGTAGTAACCCATTTATAGAAATCAATGAGAATTTTTTGTTTAAATCCACTTGAAGGGAAAAGAACTCTGTTGAATTGATTGGCGAACGTAGGAATCTGGGCTCTTCAGCCCAAGAGAGCTCGTAAGCTCGGGAATTCGGGCTCTTCAACCTAAAAGAGCTAGTAAGCTCGGGAATCCAGACTCTTCAACCTAAGAGAGCTCGTAAGCTTGGGAATCCAAGCTCTTCAGCCCAAGAAGGAAGAGTACCATTCTCCCTTAAGGGACTCCCGAGCATGACGTCTAAAAAGAGCAAAGGGTGTCATCAAGACAACAGTGAAGGTAGGGACTTTGGGGTAATAAGACCTCTCTCAAACCAGAACCTGGAAGCATATATATAGCTTGCAAAAGACTGTCGAAATTCCACAAGAAGGAATGGTATTAAATGTGACACAGGATTCGGAAAGGTTGTTGAACAACCCACGAAGGTCATTTAAGTCATCAGCCACCTCAAACACTGTCACAGGAAACGAAAAGTTACTAGTAACATTTTTCCAAAAAAAAAAAAAAAGTAACAAACAACCAGAGTTAATGAAAGTTCAATTGACAACACTGCTCCCAATAGGCCAAGGCCTCTTTGGAGCAGGGGGCAAGGGGATACAACGTATCGTCACAAAGGAAGGTACAAAAGAAGGTAAAACTTCATTATAAGGAAAAGAATCTACAAGTGTTCAAAAAAAAATGACAAGTCCTTTGACAAAAGGAAAGGAAATCCCACTGCAAAAGGAAAGGTATTTTTACAAATATTGCAAAAGGACGAAACTTCAAGACTGCCCAGGCGGGGGTGTATCATCGAGGGCACCACTGCCAGAAGGAGCATCAAAGCTAGGTTGAAACTTCTCTAGACCCAAGTCAGGGAACTTCTCAATTTCCTGGTCAGCAAAATTGAAGAAATCGTCCACAAAAGCCCTGGCTGCCTCCACCTTGGCTCCCTCAATATCTTTCATTTGGCTTTCGACCAGCTGGCGCTCAGCGGCTAAAGACTTGCTCAAGTAAGCTANCCTGTTAGTTGTCGGTAGTCATCTACTCTATACCAATCATATAAAACCTAACAAATGTAAATATTCTTTAAAAAGATGCCTTCTTTGATCAAACTTGAGGGACACTCACCCCGAACCCACACAAAAAAATAGAAAATAAGATGAATAATAATGATTTGCCCTATGATTTTCAGATAATTATGGTTGTAGGTCAATTACCAGTTTGCCCAAAATAATAAATGGAATATCAAGTTTATTTCTTCCCATTATCTTCTCCATTATATTTTTGTTTCTCTATTTTTTTTAATGACAAATCATTTAACTGGCTTGGTTCCTCTCTCATACACTCCAAACTATTTATAATTAGAGAAATTTAAATATAAAATAGAAAAAAAATTAAATTCTTTTTTTTTTTTATGATAAAAAATTTTTCAAGTACACTTTATCTTTTATCACTCTCACACATATCACGAAACATTACCGACAACTCCACCCTAGTGCTGACACCTTAAACCACCCCACCACCCAACAGCAAACACCCACACTCTCTCTCTCTCGTGGGTAGTGCTCGGATATTTACCATGACCATACAGGTCAGTTGTCCATGGCCCATGGTATTCTTCTAAAAAAGCTCGAAATCCGATGACCCAAAAGTTCCCGTATGTTAGCCGATCATTTCATGGATGGCCTAAATTGATATTGGCCAAGAGTTTGATACGACACACAGGAAAAATGTTCATTGAGACTGTCTCCCCTAAATTTAACTCTTGCTCGTGGAGAGTAGACTTTGCGTGTGAGCTCAAGTTGGCTACCGGCTCCAAATCTAAATGGGTTCGATTGATGGAGGTTCCTGGGTTATTAAAACAAAAAATGAGAAGCCCCACCTAAGTCTCAAGGAGCACATCAGTAAGCAGAAAGGTGAATTTGTTACCATGTTTAAATAGCAGGCTAAGTGATTGTATTTGTTAAAAGCATAGAAATAATTATGTCTTTCCGAGTTACTAAAACTGGGCAGTTTTTGAGTGACATAAACAAATAGGGAACAATAAATGCAAATCTATATCTACATGAAATTCTCATTTTGTTGAGTGCATTCATCCACCTACTTTTACATGTTCAAAACAAAAATCTACCTACTTTTATGGTTTGATTTCTCCAAACTTGTTTTGGTCAAGAATGACGTTAATGTCATTTTAGGAACTATCTAAGATGTAATTGACCAAGTTGGAGAGTCTGAATTCAAGGATGGTAATAACTCACAAGATTATTTTTAGCAAGTAACTTTATTGACATATGCAATGTGCGTGTTTTAAAGCTATTTTTGTTTATATATTGATGATTTTCCCTCTTGAAAGAGGGCTGACTCGACTCGAACTCAAGTCGTTTTTTAAAAGAGTTTAAAAAAGCTTTTATTCAAATTTGTAAACATAATCGAGTTACTCTGGCTCAATATGAGTTCAACTCATTTTGGGCATAACTTATTTTTTAAACGAATCATATTTGAATAAATTTTTAAACTTAATAAAAAAAACAAGCTTAACAAATTCGCCTAGATCAACAACTTCACCCCAAAACTAGGGTTTAACTCTGATTTTTTTTTGTACACGTATCATAAATATATTTGCGACAAACTTTTAAATTTTTATAACACCATCAGTAGGTTGGTTTTACCCGAGTAGATACCAAATCCATTCTCCAGTTATTAACAGTAACAAATTTATCCCGGTAATTAAGGATTGGATACAAAAACTTACAACTAGACAAAGAAAGAAGTAATGCAATAAAGCCAAAGCATTTTCCTTAAAATAGGTACGAAATTTCCATGTGAGAAGAGAAGGAATATCATTAGTTGCCATTCAATTATTGAAACACTTTCCATACAAAGGAATAACGCAATAATCCAAATTGGATACAAAAATCATACTGCTCATCGACGTCTTTCTAATCTTCAGATTCTTCCTAATTTCTNAAAGGAATAACGCAATAATCCAAATTGGATACAAAAATCATACTGCTCATCGACGTCTTTCTAATCTTCAGATTCTTCCTAATTTCTTTTAATTTTAATTTTAAAGTGCCAAATACACACAATTCTATTCAGTTTTTTGAAATTCAAAACGGTGTTTAACCAACTAGTTGCAGTTAACGCAGAAAACGGATTCCAAAAATTCAAAACTCTTTCGAAAAATTCGTTTTCCNTTGCAGTTAACGCAGAAAACGGATTCCAAAAATTCAAAACTCTTTCGAAAAATTCGTTTTCCAGTTACAAACCTCCTTTGGAATTTCAGTTATCCTATCCACTGTGTGTGTGTGTGTGTAACAGAGCGAGTTTTTGAAGAGGAGAGAGAAAAGAGTGTAAACACAAAAGAGGAGAGACNTTTAACCAACTAGTTGCAGTTAACGCAGAAAACGGATTCCAAAAATTCAAAACTCTTTCGAAAAATTCGTTTTCCAGTTACAAACCTCCTTTGGAATTTCAGTTATCCTATCCACTGTGTGTGTGTGTGTAACAGAGCGAGTTTTTGAAGAGGAGAGAGAAAAGAGTGTAAACACAAAAGACGAGCGAAGAGAAAAAGCATATGATGAATGGAAACGTACTGGTATTTACAAGTAGTATCACTACTTAACAAATAACTATTTCTCGAAAACCTCCACATTCCGTACATTAAATCATTACCAAATACCGATAATCAAACCCCAACACACCTCTCTTCATTGGGTAACTAATCAAACCCTCTTCAACTTCCCTCGAAACCCTCACTGGCGGCGCCACCAACTTTCAACGTCATCACCACCACCACAATCATTCAAAGAGTATCGCTGANCATTACCAAATACCGATAATCAAACCCCAACACACCTCTCTTCATTGGGTAACTAATCATTCAAAGAGTACTTACTCAACTAACAGAGGTAATCTCGTTGGAACAACCATCGGAGTTGTCCCGGCCACCGGCTTCAACGGCGGCGGCAGCGGCGACAGTGGCAGATCCGTTCCGGATGAGAAGTTCTTCAACGGCGCTTCGTCATGGTGTGAATCATCATACCCGTCTTCGAAATTCAAAGAATAGCTCAACGGGTCGTACCTGAAATCAGTCGACGAGTGTCTCCGGCGGTGCTTTCCTGTTCGACTGAAAATGTTCCGGCACTTGTCTTTGATCTCCGGGAACTCCTGTCTCAGCCATGTCGAGGAGGCCCTTAGGAGAGTAGTGGTTTTGTCAGAGGAGGAAGAAGACGATGATGATGACAATGATGGCTGCAGTTGTTTGTGGGTATGGAAACAGCAAGACAAGCAGAGGGTTTGTTTGAGCTTGTGCTTGAAGGATGGAGGAGAGGTGGGTATTGCTCCGTCGTCCATGAGAGAGAGAGAGAGAGACAGAGAGGGTGATAGTGAGTGACATAGACAGAGTTGGGAGGTGGCGGATTTATTTGTGGGGAGGTGGTGGACGGGGGAGGGGAAAATGAAAAGACGGATATGGACACGGATACTGCGCGCTTATTACGGGGAGAGAAAACGTGGGATGTGAGAGCGGTTTCAATTTAGACCGGATTTGAGGGGATTTTTGATGGTGTTTCTTGTCATTTAAGTAGCTTTAACGGGGTATCAAGTGTAATTAATTGTGAGAAAAATCCCCAACTATAATGCTCTGTTTGATAGAAAACATAAAAGTAAGAAGGATGAAAAGTAGGAGAGATATATTTTTTTATGAAAAATAGGAAGGATCTAAAGTAGGAGGATATATTTTTTTTTTTTTGTGTTTTTTTAGATGAATGGAAAAAAAATGATTTTTTTTGTGCCAGTTAAAAATTAATCATTTTATTTTCTACTCATCCAATTAAAAAAGGAAAGAAAGCGTATCTCTCCTACTTTTCATCATTTTTACCAAGCGAAGCATAAATGTTTTGTGCATTATTATGATTTTTGATTCATGGTAGGTTGGTATAATACCATGTCAATAAGGGGGAAAAAAACCACAATAAATCAAATATTTATTGCATTGTCGTCCCAAAAAAGGTGAATGGGGGCTATAAGAGAATCTTAAACATATGCTTCAAATACTTAAAATAGACAAATTCTAACTAACCAAAGCCCAAAAACAACACTCAAATAGATTATGTTGATATGTTGTAAAATAGATTTTTGCTATTTAGAGCATCACTGTTACAATATATAAACATAATATATATTATTTTTTCTCTTTTCCTCTCATTTCTTCCATTCTCTCTATTTCTTTCTTTTACTATTTCTAAAAAAATATAATACAAAATGGATGATAAATAATATTTAAAAAGAGTAGTTAAAAAATATAGAAAATCTGTTGAAGTGTGTATTGAAAAAGTGAATAGCTAAAATAGCTATTATTGTTAGAGATACTCGAAATGAGGAGTAAATATTGGGTGGAAAGGTGACACCACGTTATCAATATCACTTGATGGTACCAATTAATCTATAGTATTTATAAATGTTAGCATCAGCAAAATTTTTTTCATTTTTGATTTTATCCTTAATTATTATAATAAAATCAATTTTACCCACTTATATATTTTTATCTAATTTTTATTTTTTACTTTTATTTGACTTTCAACTTATTTTAAATTCTTTTATAAGGATTTATAAATTCTTTTGAACCCATCAATTAATAATATAGTTACATAAATTTTTTATATCTATATGAATAAAAAAATTCCTATATATATTAAATTTTTATACACATGCAGTTATTAGATTGAATTTTATAGTCAAATACAGTAATATAATAATATTATAAATGATCTAATCACTCTATTTAATAAAATAAAAATTAATAATTTTAAAATAAAATTAGATGTGTAAATACTTAAAGNTAATATAATAATATTATAAATGATCTAATCACTCTATTTAATAAAATAAAAATTAATAATTTTAAAATATAATTAGATGTGTAAATACTTAAAGAAGTTGGAGAGATACTTAAATAAATGATAAATTAGGTATTTAAAGATTTATAGAATAAATTAATAATTAAATTTAATACTAATTTATTTAAATTAGATGTGTAAATGCTTATTATTTAATTTAATTATATATAATTCACGTGTGTTATAAAAATAATTATTTAAAATTTTTTTCGTGCAACGTATGTTATGCATTGCTAATAAAATAAAACGGCATGGTGAACCCCATTATTCTATGGTTAGTAAGATGTCGATGCAAATATTCAATTTTTTGCATCGACAAATAGTGCTGATGCAAATAATAGAATATTTGCATCGACGTACAATGTTTGCACAAATAATGGAGTATTTGCATCCGCACTTAGCGGACACAAAAAAATATCCGAGGCAAAAACTTAGGTTTTTTTGAAGTACCAACAATAGGATTGATAAACCCTACTGTTCCAATATGCCAAATATTAAATAAGGTGAATATTAGTAGTTATTAAAACAATGAAGTATATAAAGTACACTTAGTATTTTATCACTAGTTGGTGACACTGGTGACATTGATGATGTAGTGTCACCGTTATACCCAATATTTTCTCATAAATGAGACAGGTAAATTGGTTAGTAGGTTGTTGAAATTAGTGTTGCAATATATTTTGAATTGAATGATAGCTAACTCCAAATTAAAGTAAATTTAAAAATTTTATATTTCGAGTTTAATCCAAATGTAGCTTCATACATGAATCTTTTAGTTAGGGTACCACATGCATTTAAATATATGAATTAGGATTATAAAATATAGATTGCAAGTTAATTTTAGTATTCAGGTTGAAAATTTTTGGGTTGTTTAGTAACATTTTTGTTTTCGTGTCTTTAACAAAATAAAAAATAGAGACAATTTTTGTCTCTGTTTTGTGGTAAATATTGAAACAGAAAATATGTTTTAGAGTTATTTGTGTCTACCAAATTATGAGAATAAAAACAAAAAACATGTTTAGTAACTACTTCAAGTTTTATCCTAAATATGCTTTATAATATATTATGGAACAAAATACAAATCCAAAAATTCCTTAACAACATATCCACTAATTCATCAAAATTCATGTACACAATTCTTTCCAAATGGATGGTTAATTTTTTGAAACAAAAAGAATAGAAGATCCTTCATCCCCAAAGCAAAAGAATACATTGTAATTTCACATTCTAAAAAGATCAAAAAGAAACCAGCAAGCTCAGCACAACAACAACAAACAACAAGCTCAACACAGCAGCAACACAAAAGCTTAACTAATCAATACTTAGATCATATTGTGCTGCAACTCTAGCCGTGTATGGAAGATTTGAGCCATGTAGTGCTCCTCTATTTCATCCTTAATCCCCATTGTGCTAGTTCATGTGTCAGGGTGTTGGCTCCTCTTGGATTGAATTCCATTTCCCAGTCAATGTGTTGTGCAAGTAGGAATACTAAGTCTGAGATAATGGGGGAAATTGTCCAATGAGACCTTATATTGTTTAGTACCACTGCATGAATTACCCTCTTATAGTTTCCTTCTACGATCAAATGATTCCATTGTTTAGCATGTGCCCACAAAAGGCATCTTGGTGAGTAGTCATTACTTCAGCCAAAAATAGTTCTTTAGGTTCGCAGGATAGACATACCCAAAATCAAATATGAAAATTCAAACCCATAATTGTAAATTCATAGCCATACCCAAAATCAAATACACGCACATGAGATTGTTGCTTTCAATGGCTTGACTGAGCCGAGACACATAGGCAAATCGACTGAGACACACGCGCACACACCCTCACTCATAAATCGACACACACACACAGACAAAAACACAGATCTAAGTTGTATATACATAGATCTATGTATATATATGCATATATATACATATATCAACAACAAGAAAGAGATCAACAGAGGGTTTCTGTTCGTCTACGTAGGCAGAGCACTATCGGTTCGTCTTTGAAGGCAGAACACTGTCACAGCAAGAGAGAGATCAATAGAGGGTTTTGGTTTGTCTTTGTAGGCAGAGCACCATTGGTTTGTCTTCGTCGTTGAGAGAGAGAGATGATAAGAGAGAGTCGTTGAGAGCTCTGGAGAAAAGAGAGTTGTTGAAAGTGGAGGAGAAGAGAGAGAGTTGATCTATGTGTGTTCTTCTTTGTCATCGTTGCCGAGAAGAGAGAAGATAATAGTAGGCAGAACTTTGTGAGTGGAAAAATGAAAAAAGACCCCCTATTTATACTTTGAGAAATGAACTTATCTTTTGTGATTAACAAGATTTGAAGTTGAGACCTTATTTAATCCAGAAACGCGTGTTTCGTGTTTCTGATATTTTTTGAAACACAATTTTTTTGTTCCCATTTTTTGGGCTTGTTTCCAAGACAACTAATATGAGACAAAAAACAAAAACAATTACCAAACATATTTTTGTTTTCATTTTTGACAAAAATTAAAAATAAAAACACAAAACAAGAGACAAAAACAATTACCAAACAACTCCTTAAGTTTCGTTTGCAACTNCAAACATATTTTTGTTTTCATTTTTGACAAAAATTAAAAATAAAAACACAAAACAAGAGACAAAAACAATTACCAAACAACTCCTTAAGTTTCGTTTGCAACTTGAGACTAAAATTTGTGTTTGATTTTGGTTGAACTAGAACTAGTGTGTTCTAGTTGGGTTTGGTTCAAAAACCCCCATACCCCAATTTTAGTATATATCCAAATATGATTTGGGTTTGAATTTTTCTGTCAAAATTTAATTCAAATCATTGGAATTCTTTACGGGTGGGGCTATTCTCACTCTTCAAATCTCCTTTTTTCACATCATTTAATCCTCTTACTTCAAACTACAAAGTTCAACTTATTTATATTCACTCCATTAATGACTAAGTTCACTCTATTTGTATCCACACAAGTAAACTATTAATTATATATTATAAAAACCAAAACTAAAATAGTAATTGAAACGAAATTTCAATGTTTCGTAATGATCTAGAATCTTTCGAGGCGTTTTGAAATATTCTGACATATTTTTACCAATGTCTATAATATTTGTAGAAGTTTTAAAATATTTTGGTATATTTCAACTAAAATTTTAAAAATAAATTAATTATTTTTTATTTAATTTTATTCTATTTTTAAAATATTTTCGTAATGAAATAATATACTGAAACAAAATTTTGATCATTGCCTATGATGATGTACAGAGTTAATTATGCATAATCAAATCAGTCGAGTGTATGATGTAAAGTAATTAATGAAGTAATTAATAATAAGAAATAAAGATTGAGTGGTTGAGATATGGGTGAACTAACTACTGAAGGCGGCAACAATGACCGAAAAACTCTATTAATGGGGGAGAGAGAGAGAGAGAGAGAGTACGCTCAAGTTAAAGTGTGTGAGATCTGCCCCCATGTATA